TTTGTTCTGTTGTAATTATCATTCTCCAATTTATTCGCTATTTTTTTCAAGAGGGCGGGGCACTTGGTGCATTAGCAGACATGATACTACAGAGAAGTTTCGGAGCTTGCGTTTTACTCGCCCTGATCTATATTTCTTTCTCTACCTCTCTCGATTCACTGTCTGTTTACGATTCTCTCTTTCTCTCTGTCTCTCTGTCTGTCTCTCTTTCTCTTTCTGTCTCTTTCTCTTTCTGTCTCTCTCTCTCTCTCTCTCTCTGTCTCGCTCTGTCTCTGTCTCTATCTGAGTGTCTGCCCGTCTCTATTTCTCTCTCTTACACACACACTATCTGTCTTGTCTCTCTGCCTCTCTCTCTCTCTCTCTCTCTGCCTGTCTCTCTGTCTGTCTCTATATATCTCTCTCACTCTCTCTGCCTGTCTATCTGTCACTCTCTGTCTCTGTCCCTCTCTCTCTCTCTCTCTCTATGTCTCTCTCTGTCTCCCTTTCTCTCTGTCTATCTGTCTCTCTCACTCTCTATGTCTGTCTCTCTGTCTCTGTTTGTCTCTCTCTCTCTCTCTCTCTCCCTTTCTGGCGTGGATGGTACTGTGTGAAATCCTTACTAAGAGTTGAAACTTGAATAATCATTGTTTACAATGCTAATAATAACATGTAAAAAGAGAAGTTGCGCTTAAATGTATGTGAAGACAAAACAAAGAACAAGTTGTGGCAGGTGACTAATGAAAACCTGTCGATGAATTTTTTTACAAAGAGACAAACAAATAAAGAACGAGAATTTGACATAAATATTAATCGTATGCTTCCATTTTCTTTATCAAGTGAGAAAAAAAAAATCAATATTTATTATCGATTTGACTCCACCATCTCTCTCTCTCTTTCTTTCTATGCACCTTTCGGTGTTCGTGATTTCTTTATTCTTTATTTCTTGTTTCTTTATTTCGTGTAGAGAGAGAGGCAGCTGTTTCCACAACCAGAAATGCGTTGCGAAAGCAAGTATAACTTTTAAATGAAAAGAATAAGAATTTTATCTTTCAATTGCAGACATCTCATTCGATTTATGTTGGATTTACTGTATAAGTTTAGAAAACAGAAATCAACATAGACAACGACCCCCCCCCCCCCTACCCACCACCAAACCACCAAAAGAAGAAAAAGGGTAACCAGAGCCATGTATCCAATCGTTGCTTAATGGACTAAAAGAGCAACGAATACAAAAATTAAAAAAAGAAGAGGGAAATATTATCCCAGAAAATGATAATTAGTTTCCTTGAAGGTTTTCCAACTTCATGTTGCATAAATGCGTTTTAAAACAGAGAAGTGTCCAGTTCAAGCACGTTCTGTTCTCACTTTGAGTGACCTGCTGCGCAAAAAAGTGTTCAACTCAATATCATGAAAAATACTTGTGTCATAATAAGTGTTTCACAATTGCTGTGCAATGTGAATAATTGCTTGTATATGCCGTATTTTATGTTTTGGGTTTATAACGGGATAACGGCATATTAAGCCGATTAGATAGGGCACATAATAATGAAGGCACGCGACCGAACAAGTTGGCGTGCGTTTAAAGTGATTGTCCGCGTGCTGCTAAATCTGTTAATGTAGTGATACAATTGGAAATGATATGACGAATGGCATAACAAATGCAGTGATATTTCGCATTCAGAGAGCTTTGTGTACATTAGCATTAGATCGAGAAATGATGCGATTGATTCAGTGAAAAGTGATTCGATACGTCGCATTTAGTCAACTTGATAAAACAATGCATGCAGATAATAATATGATATTAATGAAATGATTAATGAAAAGATACGAGTAGGCTATGTTACTCCCAGGAAAACAATATATGGAAAGTGATTAATAAGGGAGAGAAAAAAGGGGGAAAGGGAGCAACAGAAAAGGAGAAAAAGATCAAGATAGATATAGACAGATTTAGAATTGGGAAATGGAGTGAGAGAGAGAGAGAGAGAGAGAGAAAGAAGGAGAGAAAGAAGGAGAGAGAGAGAGAGAGAAAGAGAGAGAGAGAGAGAGAGAGAGAGAGACGGGGGAGGGGGGGGGGGTAAAAGGTAGCTTTTGTAGGGTGTAAGGTCGAAGACAACGCCAGTAAGATAAAGGAATAATTACAAAGTAGACAAAGTAATAGTCATTTACTAGAGAGAATAACCTCGAAAAGCATGATTTGTAGAAGTAATAAAAACAGTGTTTACAAATAATGAATCTGTTTATTCATTCAATTTAAAGTTACAATTGTCCTTTAAATGTGATAAAATGGAACAAAATTGATGATCTCCGTTTATATCGGTGGAGATTTTAAGAAAAAACTATCTGATAACTTATCTTTTCTCAAGCATGGCCAAAGCAAAAGTCGGAATGATTCAAGATCCGCGTTTCATTATCACCATGTTGTAAGATGTAAGCAACGATTGATCTCTAATGATATAATGATAAAACTTAATAATCCCATGTAAGTGCTACTGTTTGGCGTGTGTATGTCCTTATCGCGAGATCATACAAACAGATATGGACGAGAACAGTCAATTTGAATCGTATGTCCAACGACAATTTAATTTATCTTTAGCTTATCTTTTTTCAAGCATGGTCAAAACAACGGTCAGAATGATTCAAGATCCGCATTTCATTATCACTATGTTGTAAGCAAAGATTGATCTCTAAAGAAATAATGATAGAACTTAATAATCCCATGTAAGTGCTACTGTTTGGCGTGTGTATGTCCTTATCGCGAGATATCGCGAGATATCTCGAGATTATACAAACAGATATGGAAGAAAACAGTCATTGAAACGTTTGTCCAACGGCAATTTAATTTATATTTAGCTTATCTTTTCTCAAGCATGGCCAAAACAAAAGTCGGAATGATTCAAGATCCGCGTTCCATTATCACCATGTTGTAAACAAAGATTGAACTCTAACGAAATAATGACAGAACTTAATAATCCCATGTAAGTGCTACTGTTTGGCGTGTGCATCTCCTTATCGCGAGATATCGCGAGATATCTCGAGATTATACAAACAGATATGGAAGAGAACAGTCAATTTGAATCGTTTGTCCAGCGACAATTTAATTTAACTCGCATGTGTGTATCTCAAATAAATATGAAGCCTGCAAACGCGACACAGTAACCCCATGCATGCTTTGCTGACATTGCGATAATCGTTTTGTAGCTAATTTTATTGAGATGAATAAAGTTGCGAGCGGTACATACTATAAGCGATTGCAGTTGTAAATTTACGCTTCGACCTTGCAAACAATTATGCTCGCATTTTTTAACCCCCATTCTTTTCTAATTTTATATGATGTACTTACCAACTATTCAATAATTACTTGGGGAGCCTATTTAGAATATTGATGTCATATTGAATGAAAACAAACAAACAAACAAACAAATAAACAAACGAACAAATGAACAAATGTCATATATCCTCCATCTTTTCCTCCATCTTTTCCTCACGACGACCCCCCCCCCTTGCATCCCTGGTCCCTCTCTTGAATGGGGGATGGAGGGCGTGTCAACATTTAAACAGCAAATCTTTCTCAATTTGTTTTTTATTGAAGAGGACCAAGTATACTTTGTTGAAGTCTTAAATAGGATTCGGTATGGGTATATTCACATTGAATTGCTCAATTTTTTTGAAATAGTGATCACATGAAGTCATCAAATACATTACATCACAAAGTGTATTAATAATGATGAAGTTATAGTCCAGCTTGTATAGCGCATATCACATTATGTTATAACGTCTCTATGCGCTTCCAAAGGACTTTGGATATCATTACTCCTGCTTTGACTCCGGCACCCGTAGCGCTCAGTGCATTAAACAAAAATCCTCTACCAGGTACCCACCATCTACACCTGGGTAGAGTGACGCAAAATAAATGTAATGTAGATTAATGTCTTTGCCAACGGACGTTAGTGCTGTGGCAGGGATTCCTTCCAATCACAGTCAAGAGATGTATCCATTAGATCGCCTCTTAACAATGATAACCTATATCATTGCTACAAACAGATGATAATAGTTGGGTGTGCTGGAAAGTGTTGCTCCCAGTTGGAAAAACAAAGTATCGTTTATGAAGTGCTTTCTTTTTTTATCTGGCCTTCTTACTATTGCCTTCCGACCCCTCCCAGTGAATTTCTTTCTTTCCTCTCTAAAGAAATACAAATAGACTTCCGATTACGTGGCACTACTCTTACCTTCCCATCCTTCTCATCCTTTTTTGTGTTTCATCACATGCTTCTTTTTTTCTTTTCTTTTCTTTTCTTTTATTGTCATCTATTTTATGTTTCTATCGTTCATTATACGCTTGTACAAAATACTATTGGACCATCTTAGGCGTGTGTCCGATTTTCGCGTGTTGTTCCCGGAGAGTCTCCGGACGCGCGGGTTCGGCTGCCTATGCCGGATCTTTGTGTTTCTTTTGTCGGGGCCTGTTCGGTGCGCAATATTTTATGTTGCTCGTTGCTAGGTCGGACAGACCTTGAGCTTGCTCGACCTGGCAACGGCAGACTGTTGTAAGCTGAATGGGCCTTGGCGGGGGGGACCCGGGATCTGGCGCGGGCGAGTGGGTTCGTGCGTCTCTGGTCTCTCTGGGAGCGGACATGTGTAGAATTTGATGCACGTTGATGATGGTCCATTATTTAATTTATACTGGGAATCTCGCTCAACAAGCCTAGCTTTTCTGAGATTCCCTTTTTTTCCCCTCTCAGTTAAATCAAGCAATTTAAAATATGTTGTTTAATTCTCAAACATAAATGTACTTTGTAAACTTATTTGATTACGAACATGCTTGTCAGTTTTTCGTTACTTGTATAATTCATTTGTTCTATTATATATTGTATTACTGTATGGTTTATATATGTCATTTAATTTGTGGATATTTGAGTGGAAAATAAATAAATCAAATCAAATCAAATCAATCAAATCAAAGAATAATGGCAAGAATTCATTTTCTTTCTTCCATTTTTCTTCTCTCTTTTCTGTTTTTACAGAATTGGACCGATGGTTACCTGAAATGGAACCCCAAAGAATACTACGACGTCTCCCATCTTCGGATGTCATCAGATGATGTGTGGTTGCCCGACATAACACTCTCTAACAAGTAATAATTACTAATAGCACATGCGCAATTACGAATAAATTGCAAGGGAATATTCGCCTGTTATGCTCACTGCACACGAAGCGTCATTTTGGCTGCGTTGTTGCCTGCGCTAATCGCACCTGTAAACGCGATGAAATCAAATAGCTCATGCGCTTTCCATGCATTCAATTCATTTCGCAATTGACTCTCTCTCATATTATAGCTGACGCAGTTCTGCGTCATTAAATTGACGCCTCGTGTGCGCCAGGCATGACGGGACTACAGGTTGATGGATTGATAATAACAAAGTAGACGTTTATTTTACGCCCAAGAATACCAGGAAGTTTTTGCAATACCAAATTATACTTGGGATAACAATGGCGATGATAATGCTTATAATGATGAATATAGTGATACAAAAAAAAGGTTTCCTTACCTGTTCGTTGATTTTGTTTTAGATTAGGCCTTATCAAATTTATTATCATGTCATTTTTTAAATTTTCCATTGCCATTTACATAGTTGTTCATATCATATTATGGTATATCTTTAAGTCGGTCAAGGGCTCCACCATAATTAACAGAAATTAATATTCTTTTTAAAATTGATATACCAACACTTTAATAGCGTTGAACCTCAATACTTTTCAGTTCGGATAACTATTGTATCTATTGATACAATTTCTGATTACATGAACCAAATCCCATTATTATGTTCTCGTTATTGAAGTTATTGCATTTTTACGATAACCATTGTCATTTCATCACATAACCCTCTTCATTTACATCGACCTCATCGCAACCGTCGTCGATATCCTAATCGACATCGTGTCCGCTGCCGATTTGGTTATCGTCACCGTCATCATTATCTTCGCCGTACTCACTGTGGATTTCATCGTACCATCGTCCACTTCGTCATCTAAACCACTCTCGATGCCGTCATCGTAACCGCGGTCAATTTTCCCTTCGTGATCAATGTCGACTTCGTCATCGTCTTGTCGTCGAACTCGACATCGTTGACCAGCGCGGAGAGGACGCGGTTGATGGAGTCGACGGTGGTCAGGATCAATCACGTGGGGCGAGTGGAGTGGAGCGGCCTCATCATCGCCAAGACCTTCTGCAAAATCGACTTCACTTTCTTCCCGTTCGACGAGCAGGAATGCTTGATGACCTTCCGATCATGGACCCATCTTCATAGTCATGTCAGAATGGATGCTAGTAAACCAGAGGTATATCAAATTTTACTTTTCCTTTAATATCATTTCTTTCATAATTCCATTAACAATACATACAAACTACATATAACATGCAAAAATTAATATACACAAATGCATATTATGTACACATTTAAGAGAAATTAACCACTTTGAGATAAAAGAGGAGAAGAAAATTTTTTTTCTACGGAATGAACATAGCAATCTAATTATTTAAAAGGGGTTGCAAAAGAACCTCGAGGGTTCTTCTGTCAGAGATGGATCAATCATTATAAATGATATCGATTATCATGCAAAGCAATATCACACTAAATTTACTTACGATGATAAATCATATGAAAATAGTATATTGATCAAATCAATTCATTATAAGTATACATTAATGACGCGCACACATCCAGGGGTTATCATGGTTACTGAAGGCACCTACCAATTACTATTATCTTATATTGAAAAACACTATAATATTTGTCATTAACAATTACAAAATGAATTCGCCAAGGAAATCTGTTCCAAACTAAACTCTCTATATAGAGAGTTTAGTTTGGAACATAAAGAATTATTATATAACATCTGAATAAAATAGACTACCGGGAAATATAATTTGACGTTCATCATGTCAGGTTTGAATAAGATGAGATAAATTTAAAGTTCATTCAATTAGTTCATCTTTCATTAACAATTTGTTAAGATTGTTAACATCAATAATGACTGAATGAAATATGAAAGTATAAAATAACATCCCAACTGCTTTCGAAAAAATAAACCTCGGGCAATTTCAATAATTACGCGTCACCTATCGAAATATGCGAACATAACAATGAAGTATTACATAATCAAGACCTGGGGGGTGTTTCACAAAGATCCTAAGTAGAACTTAACTCTAAGTTGGACTTAAAAATTATGGACAGCCATTGGAGTCTTAAAATGAAATAAATTCAAAAGCAGAAATTCAATTATTTTAGACTTTTCATGAATTCCATATCAAGAACATGAAATCTCACATGATAATAGAAAATATGATTGATTTGAATTAACATTTCATGCCTTTTAAAATAACTTCTACAAAATATTTTCAAAGATGCTAATGGCTTTCCATACATTTTAAGTCCAACTTAGAGATAAGTTCAACTTGGGATCTTTGTGAAACACCCCCCAGATTCTTATTGGATATACAAAAGGGTATTGAAGTTGCTCTTTAGTTGATTCTGGAAAATAATGTAGTTCTGTCATATTTAAATACATGGAAAAGATTTACCACTTTTTCGTTTAATCTATACGACCTAGGGGCCTAATCGCTTATTGAAGCATGAACATGGGTATTAAGCATAGCATTACAGGGACCAACACGTTTATTTTTCTGTTCAATTAAGCACTAAATACAATATCAATTACTTATTTACCCGATTTATACTGAATGATGCAAAACCAAATTTCATAATATTTAATAATATGGGAACATTTTTTGTTGTATATATATATATATATATATTGAATTATTCGTATTGCTAATATTGTGAATTGTCACTAGAAAATGAACTAAGTATTAATGACGATTTATTGTCTTCGTTAATCATATCGTATTTTAACGGGTATTGTTTGAAACAATTGTGCAAGAAATATGATATGTTTTTTTTATTTGTAAATTGTCATGCAATTCAGCCGAGGCTGCGAAATGATGATATTAATAAACTGAACTGAACTAATTTTTTTTTTTTTTTACAGAGGATGGCTGATAAGGACAATGGAGAGTGGAAGGTAGCGAAGATCGTGACGAACTCGACGATGGAGTACCTCGACCACGGGAACTTCAGTAAGATCGAAGTCACGATCCACCTGTCCCGCCGTCCCTTGTTCTATATCATGAACATGATCAACCCCTGCGTGCTCATCTACGGGCTCACCCTCCTCAGCTTCTGCCTACCCGGCGAGTCGGGGGAGAAGGTAAGGTAGATAGATGTCGGGTGAAGCGTGTGTGGGTGCACGGGAGGTATTACGGGGGATAAGTATGCATGGATTGGAATCATTTCAGGCGGCAATGCATATAGTTTGATGATGTAGGGACATGAAGTATACATGGCCCTGGGAAGCGGGGGTGCTGGGGGTGCTGCAGCACCCCCGGAATTTTTCCAGGGGGGGCATAGCACCCCCTGCAAATTTTTTCGGTATGATATATTTACTGTATATATACGAAATTATAACGTTTCTTTCACAAAATCATATAAAATTACCCCTCGAAGCGTTTTTTTATATATTTTTTTATATAAAATTAAAAATTGTGGTAATTGGTGACCAAAAATGACAGACCTTACCCCACCCCAATACCGATCGACCAAATTTTGAAATTATGGAGATATTTCGCGAGAAAAAAAATGTCCTCTTACCCCCCCCCCCCCCCCCCCCCCCCCCCGCTTATTCAACGGCTGGCTGAGTCGTTGCAAGATTTTTGGAACAAAAAAACAAAACAAAAAATGTCCTCTTATATATATATATATGGGTACCTGGCAGGAATTAATTCCTTGAAATGCTAGAGCGCCATAATGGCAGCCATGCTAAAGCTAGGTTAATAATTATTGTGGAGCGCCGGTAGTGTAAGTCTGACAGATACATGTATGAGCGCTTTTCGAGAACCCGTTATTAGCAGTATATCATATATATATATATATATATATTTATATATTTATCTATCCTTCTATCTATCTCTTCAGATCGCGTTGAATGTGACCATCCTTCTATCTCTCACTGTCTTCATGCTCCTCACGTCTGAGATGATGCCCCCATCGTCAGACACCATCCCGGTCATCGGTAGGTAGAGACACTCTCTTAGAAATCTTTCAAATTCGTTATTGATTTCATAATAATAGTATCAAAAGTCCCAAACGGAATATAGCATAGTCATATGTGTAGCCAAATTCCAAAGAGTTGTTCCTTTGCACACACTGTGAATTCTGCAAATCGAAATCATAATGTAATTGCTATTTTCATATATTCAACTTCACTTTGATAGAATAGTGGACAAATATCTAGAAAAATAACAGAATGAGATACTTCTGAAACAAACTTTGATTTACAAACGATAAGGAAATGTATAGTGAGGGGTTTACACAAATCGATACGTTGGTTTTTTTAGTGGGGTCTTTTAATAAGCAACTCGCCTCTTAAAAGTCTCTTGATTATTTTATTCATACATAATGTTGTATTGATGGAATTTATGTTTAACCAGTTAAAGAAAGAAATCTACCTTCTATACATATTTTCATAGTTAATCATTTGTATTTCAAAAGTTAGGACAACATCTAGTAATTTATTTTAAAGCATTTAATCTTAATTAAGTTTGTGGTAGGCCTATGTGTAAAGAAATCACTATTTGGTACATGAGGATGTACAGGATCCGCACATTTCTGCAGTATGACAAAAAATATACCGCGCAGTGAAGAGACCATATATAGAGAACGCAAAAGTCTTCGGGCATAATGTTTATGTTGAATAAATATTTACATCCAATATTTAAAAAAAATGTAAACATATTTATGTATAATTTACGATGCGTGCAGCGGGACATGTAAACTATGTAAGTATGCAAAATATACTAGACATCTCCATTAAAAAAAAAAATATTTGTAAATGATCGGCGAGACGACCACATCAAATCTATGCGCAAGCATCAATCACAAATATGTTTTAGTATCTCAATAACGTCATTTAAAACATACAAATAGGAATTATGATTCTAGAAAAAGTATATGATAACAAAGATTTGGAAGCTAATGCATCAATTAAGATTTCTCTTTGTTTATATTCAATCATGGGGAGATAGCGATCAAAGTCACTTGACCTCGGTATACCGTGCTATCATATGGTTTGATGGAAATTTACACGAACATCATTTCCCGTTTTACCATATAAGGTCATTATTTGCCCATACTTTTCCTTGAAACAATTGTATTCTCTGAATGACCATTATGATTACACAAAATTGTGAGTGGCAATAATTAATTGAAGTTGTTGTTGTAGGGCAGTGTTATATGAACTATTATTTGTCAGACATTCTTCACAGTACTGCCTTTTCATTTCTTTCTTATTCCTCGAAATTAGTAGGCCTATTGCTTTAACAAAACAGTGTAGAGAAGGAAGATGATCGCGTGACTGTGATACAATTAATTACGAAGTACTCATCAATTCTTAACATGAAAAGGTTGATGATTAACGTCAGCCGTGAACCTAATGCCCTATGAGGCGTCACTTTGGTTGCGCTATTGCATATAGATGCGTTTATCACGGGCATGGATGCACCTTGAGCATAGGCCAGCAACTCGATGCATGCGCCAGCACTGCAGCGCAAATGCATGCACTGTTCGTTTTGCATTAAGTTTGAATACGATGTAAGTCTCTGACGGTGCGTCAAAGACTACGTCAGCCGTCGCTGACGCAATACTACGTCAGTAAATAATGCCTCGTATGCAAGTTGCATTAAGATTTATATTGTATGGTCTTAATTTCGCGACAAATCATTTATCTTTTGCCTTTCCTTACATTTGTTGATATAACTCTACATCAGCAGTGTGTTAGAATTGTGTAGGTTATATAATGTAAGCTAGCTCTTATATACACGATTGTAGAAGAAAGGTGATTGCGTGACTCAAAAAACAGTTACGATGAATTCATCATTCTTAACAGGAAAGGATTTATGATCTATATACATCAGTCAAGAAGCTGATGTTTTCTCCCTGACGGTCGCCTAGTCCAGTTAGTCGATTCCGGCCAAATACCAGACATAACCACAACCATTACACTTATCGCATTGGTATTACTCAATGAAACAGACACTAACCTTAATTACACCCAGTCTCGGATTCAATAAAAACAAAGATTATCATTTGACTAACATGATTAATAATCGTCGTAGCTTTTGCAATCGCCACGACACCTCGTATATTGTGTTTGTGCTTTTTGCCAGGGACTAGCTACGACGCAACCAAAACTCATCCCCCGAAGTTTCCGTTTTGACATTGGTCCCGAAAGTCATCCCCCTCTTACTACGAAAGTTTTCCTACATGTTTTGCTTTTGATAATGAACCCCAACTAGAGATAAAGAACCAAGCTATATAAATGGGTTATTTTCCAGATGACATGAAGTATTACATTTATGTTTGAGGTCTCTGTAAGACTGGGAACACTATCCGAGGAATAAGCCAGACGAAATTTTGGAGGTTTGGGGGTATTGTCGAAGGGAAAAGATCGAAAAACGTGTTATTTTTATTAATCAGATTAATGAATCACTTCGTATTGTGTAATAGTCGGCAACTTGATCACGTGATCATGCATCATCCTCAATCTTCGAAAATGAAGGCTAACAACTGGAGCAGTATGTTCAGAACAACGTGGTAAGATATAGTGAATATAAATTAACGAAAATATAAATAAAATGGATACTAAGTCAAATAAATAATAAATAATGAAAATATAAAAATTTAAAATGTAATTATACTAAAGCGTAACCACTCTTGCATTTTATAAATGAAAACAAAATTAGGTTAGGGTGAGGTTTTTCAATGACCGTTATTTAACCTGTATATTGTTAAGTGTGTTCTATCCTATTTGAGGGGAAAAGGATAAACTCCTGCAATGGAATGTGTTCAAGGCAAGAGGCTTTTGGCAACGGAATCAAATACATTAATTCGACATATTTTGTTGTTAAACTTAGAAGCATCCTCTTAATTCAGTGAATTTAGTGAAGTTTTTTTTTTCTTCTCCATGCTTCTTGCAGTTGATATATTTATTTAGTTACAAAAGAAATCTAGTTTTAGAGAAAGCTTAGTAACTTGATAACTTTGATTTAAAAAATAATTACCTATATTTAAATATATTTGAAGAGGTATCCAGAACCGAACTTCACTTCACCATTGTACTTTATTTCATGAGGGGTCTTGATTTTCTTTCATTATTCTTGAACAATTTTTTGAGATTAAAAAAAAAAAAAAAAAAAAAAAAAAAAAAATCAGCACACTTATTTCTGAATTGGTTTATGGTATAATCTATTCATGTCATTTGAAGTGATATCAGTCATAATCTTCTTGACCCGAGGCCGAAGAAACTATTCAAGTTAATCCAAATCGTTCTCGGTTAAAAAAAAATCATAGATATTTATACACCATGTGACTACGTCTGAAACATGCGAGGAATATAATTTTTTTTTTCTTCGAAGTATGCATTTTAACAGCAAGAGTTATAAACGCTCGATTCTAATTATTATTATACTAAATGCAGATTACTCCGAATAAACGTCGGTTTAAAAAGTTCCATCCATAGCACTAGTTCACAAATTTACTAATGTTTCACTATTATCTCAAATAAATTATTATAATAAAATAGTTCTAATTTATGAAATATCTAGCGTGTTGGCAGCGTGATAACATCAAAATGCTCACGTAATTATGTCACTGTGTATTCATTATTATAACACATGTATTGAAATATCCATAATTTTATTTGTATTTCTGCGCCCCAAAGTTTTGGGCCGTAATTATCATTGTTTAGCCTTTATTGCGGTTACGATGTGTTGATTATTTGCATATTATTTGTGGATATGCTATGATCGAACTCATAGAATTTTCTGTGCAAATAAAAAATCCTGTGGAAAGGGGGGGGGGGGGGAGGGGAATAGTGCCGACATGCACATTTCGGTTTGAATCGGGTTGAGGTCATTCGTACATGTAGTTGTCGGGAGGGTGTCGGGGAGGGTTTACAAAGACTAGTGTGCTTCGTATCAAGAACATGAAGATAGTCATTATTGACAATAGAATTAGAAAGAGGTTATCGCATTAATCTTGTGAACATGAACGATTTAAAGTGTTTACGAGTATTTATCGAGGATATTATATAATCAGAAGCGTGCGCCGCATTTGCTAATGATATGTATACATGTGTCTTATTTGACAGGTAAATATCAGTTTAGAATAAACATTAGATCGACAGGTGACAATTGCCGTTGACTCAAAGTGATACAAAAAGCAGAATAATTATATAAACCATGTAAACTCTGATACCCCTTAAAACGACAATCTGCAAACTGCGACAAAATGTGAGGCATTCAATATACACACACACAAATGTAGACATAACAAAGGCCTTCATTAAAAATAAATCTAACATCATAATTTGTTTTAACTGAAAAAAATGATAAATAATTTATGAAATATAATATTGATCTATGAATAATATTGAAGAAGCCCAATATATGATTATTGATACAGGAGTACAAAATCTGTATGAACAATCAGAATGATGTCAATATATCATCATGGTAATCTTGTCAAATATTAGATATAGAAGAGCGCCTGAATAAACCGTCTAAACGTCCCCAGTTCCTCCATAGAATTTAACAGAATTTATAAAGCTGTGTTACCTCTTTGACATCACTGTAATCAATAAAACTACACATTAATCGTGAATTCAAACATATATTTGATTACGTCAATGAACGCTTCAACTAAATCAAAAAATGTTAAACGTAATGACAGAATGATCTATACTTTTAATAGGAAAAATGTTGTTTCAAATTTTAAATTTCAGCCCAGTTCTACGCGGCGACCATCGTACTGGTGTCCATCTCCATACTGTTCGCCGTCATCTCACTGAATTTCTTCCACCGCCCCCCTAATCCCCACCGTGCACCCCTCTGGCTTCGCAAGCTCTTCTTCATCCATCTCACGCCCCTGCTTTACCCGTGGAGGGTGTCGACGTGTGGTAAGCATTTGTGTCTTTTTCCCTTACATATTTTCTCTTTCCCTTGCTATTTCTCCCTATTTTGTCTGTTCTTTATGTCCCCCTCTCTCTCTCTCTTTCTCTGCCCCTAATCCCCTCTCCTCCCCCCCCCCCTCTCTCTCTCTCTCTCTCTCTTTCTCTTTCTCTCCATGTCTTGGGTATTCAATGAAGTGTCGTGGTGTAGAGGTTTAGTCACCGAAGTACGTCGACACAAGGGTCAGGGTTCGAATCCCTGACGTTGACACATTTTGGCGAGTATGTTAATCCATATTGCTACTCTCAAGCCGGGGGAAGTAAACGGGGGCTAGGGGGGGGGGGGGGGAGAGAAATTCCTTTAACGTTTTTCCTTCCATATTTTGGCTATTTAGTGGGGTCATTTAATGAGCAACACGTCTATTTCAATGTCTCGTTATTAGCATAATTAAAAACAACGATAATAGTTAGTCATATAATTGATAAAATGTGACAACTGAAATACAATTTTAAAAAAATACATAGATATAATTAAAAACGTATATTTATGGAGTATGTAGTAAGTATGGAGGTAAATCTAAGAATCAAGATAAATGCAGAGGCCAACTATTATGAGCATGAATGCTTGAGTCGAAAGCAGCCGGGAAGGAGGGGGGGGGGCACATGACGCTTTTACAGGGGTATGTAGGAGACTTTGCGGACACTATATAATTACCCAATATAGGGTCGGTCAGCTAGGATGCCCCTATTCTGTCATGCCTCTGACGAATAACAGTCCAATTTGGCACGTTAAAACCCTAAAAGTATAGAAAATATTTGATGGTCAGCAAACGGAACAGAAATGACTCCCCTTATGTCTGCAGCATCTCGTATGAGTATAAACTGGAAAAAGAATAGCAAAAGAAAAATTATCGATCATATTAGAGAAGGTGTCAGAGTAATCTTAAACTTTAACAAAAATAACGACAAATTAAAAGAGAGCGTTTAGCATTGCCTTGTGATGAAAACAATTTTCGCTTCGTGTTTGTGATTTGGAAAGTAAACCTTAGGCCTAGATTTCTTTTCAGAGAGTAAACCGATTATGAGATTTTCTAGAGGTTGACAATCTTTCTTTAAAAATGTTATTTTTATAAGTTGACAGCGTATAAGACGAAATGTGTAAATCAGTTTAGCTTCAGATTCGAAATATCTTTCGTTACACTCTCAGGTTAAAAACATGAATCCATAAACTTAAACAGAAACAGACAAGTTTCAGAAAAATAAATCAATCGTCACAATCATTTAACTTTATCTATACATAGACACTGTGTATGCATGTTATACAGAAACAAGACAATGTTTAACTAAATGGTGCAAATTAATTCATGTCTTGTATTTTTTTCGAACGAGTTTTTTTTAATTATGTCGATGCCACACTTTCTAATGTAGGCAATGTTGCCTTAATGTCCTCGCTCTGAAAATATAAATCGATGTTTTTCTTTCTTCTTCATTTGCATTTGCATTAGTCGATCTGTATAGTGGATATGATCGTCGCAATGCATTAATGTCAAATTGGAGTTTCCTTTGTTCGTTTGGACTACTTTTCTTAAACATATACAAGTATTATATAATTTTATGAACACTCGTGAATGCCAGAGGGGAAAACCGTTGGAATCGACTGAACTTTAGCCCATTTTTGTTTGTCGCGCCCATATCGCCTTTGTAGTTGATTAAAAGCTGAAATAAGGAAGTACTTGAGCTCGAGAAATATATATCTTCACTCTTCTCACGCGGGGGTGATGTCGAAATAGAAACTTGGCCACAAAACACAACTAAACTATTCAGAATAAATTGCAGAAAGGACAAAAGATATAAAGACCTTGTCAATCGTATTACACAAGTGTAATTAACACTCCTCTTCAAAAAAGTAGAGACCTAGACCAGACCCCCCCCCCCCCCTGATTAATGCTTCGCTTGAAGAAATAGAATTTCGCGGAAGAAGAAAAAAATGGTTTTAATGGTCGACATAAAAACTCTGAGCTCATCCTGTTCTCTATTTAATTATGAATCGAAAGAGAAAATTAGCGCCACCCTCGTAGTTAGTTTCGAAAGATGGATGATGTATATACTGGGCTGTTATCTTATTCTTATATTGTCCAAGTTGCACGTGCGTGCTTTTCTTCTCAGTGATTGATTTAGTTTCTTTTCTTTTTTAATGAAGTACATTTAATTACATCTATTTGTTATGTGTAAGCTAGCTTCCTCGTTGCCTTTTCATTAGCCCCTCACTGTGATGCACGTACAATTATGTGTGAGATAACAACAACGTTATCGTGCAGCTGTATATGCTTTCTTGCTCAGGCAATAATTGTACAAGACAAACAAATGTATGTTTTACCACCTTGTGCCAATTGATATCTAGACAAAATATTTAATACCTACAAGACTGTGACACCATTAACTATAACCTCGAATTGATCACGCAACTTTCCGTGACTCTTTATCCTACCCCCTTCTCCCCCTCTCTCTCTCTCTCTCTCTCTCTCTCTCTCTCTCTCTCTCCCTCTCTCATTATTTACTTATTAATTATACCTATTATTTTAAGCGAACAAATTGCATGCCCCACCTTGCACAGGCCATGTCAAGTCCAAGTAATCTTGTCCCATACAATGTTACCGACAATGCACATCAACGTTTCTGATTATTTGATGACTGTATGAAGTTTACAGCCCTAAACATGATCACAAATGACTTTCGAGAATTCAACTCAATGGCATCGTGTTCAGATTACGTAATAAAACATTGTAATGCTCGAAAATGTCAATAGGTGAGGGCTAGGCCATTGGAATGGCCTTTTTCGAAAGTCTTTGCTATTTTGTTCCCAAAAGCGTTTGAGTCAGACAAAACATCAAATAAAACTATATTTTTAAGTCGAGTATGTTTGTACTTCCATAACACATTTCAAGAATATTAATTGGAACCATATGGGCCATAAACTAGGACTTGCAAATTAGCATGTACCCGTGTGAGAGATGTTATCTAACAAAGAAGCATGTAATCGGCTTTATAGAGTATAGGGATCATTTTGGAAAAAAACAAATGTACCTTTAATTATTTCACTATGTCTTATCATTATTATCTTAGGTAGATATAGATGTACTTACGAAAGATTAGGAAAGGGGAAAGGGAGAGAGAAGAGAGAAGAAATACAAGTAGGAAGAGAACAAACTACATATTTCCATGGTAATAACATATAATGTACTATGACTAATCTATAATATTACATATTTAGCCATTCATATGATTTTTTTTTCAAGTCATGTCGTGTAGTGGCAGCATCCGTAGACATGTCATGTGTATCTAACTATATCTAATTTTGACTACATATTATTTATTGGGATTTAAATACGATTCTGAAAAGCTTTTTTTTCCTCGAATAACCTTATCTGGATTAACATGACTTTGACATAATATAGTTGTCCTCGTGGTGCACTAAAAGTGCTGCACGTAAACAGTTTTCGACCTTCCACTCTTTTCATAAAGTCTCTCACTTCCGGAAACGCTTTTTTGCTTGATTCAAACACAGAGATTTCAATTTATGGAACCATTTTAGCAGACAGTTGATGCTAAACATAGTTATTTACTAATGATTCTGCAAACTGTATTTAATAACATAATATTAATAAACAATCTCACATTTACATGTGTGTGCACTGCAAATTCGTTGTGTAACGACTTTGCAGTGTAAAGTTGTGTAATTTTTATTTACACAACTTAACACAACCCCTGTGTAAGGAGTGAACCACCCAATGTTGTGTAAAGTCGTTACACAACGAATTCGCAGTGTATCTTTTCTGTCTACATGTTACTATATTCCTTTCTTTAGTTTTTTGTTTTTGCTAAACGTCTATCTATCAAGCTATCTATCTTTTTAGTTCTTTACTTTATACCCTTTTTTCCCCTTCTTGATAGATAAATCTATCCCTAGAGCATCACTATGGCTGGAAATGTACGCATGTTTTTTTTTTGCTAATATCATTATAAATTACCACTGGTCACTGTGAATATCATTATCATTTTCATTATCATTTACATTTGCATTTACATTTACCTTTCAATTACATTTACATTTAATACCTTTCAATTACATGTACATTTTCTTTTAAATTTATAATTACATTTACATTTACATTTACGTTATCATTATCATTATCACCATCATTATCATTATTATCATCATCACCATTATCCGTATCGTCATCATTATCATTATCATTATCATATCATTATTGACGATAGTTTAAAATAAGTAATGCTATCATTATTATTGTCACTACTATAATATCTATATAATTCAAATCCGCATCATAGTCATTATTAATTCTCTATTAGTTTATAATTATCATCATCATCATTATTATTATTATTATTATTATTATTATTATTATTAATATTATTATTATTATTATCTTATCATAAATATTATTATTATTATTACTATTATTAGTAGTAATAGTATTATTAACATTGTTATCATTATTATCATGATACTTACTATTATCAATATTATTATTATTATTACTTTTATCATTGTTATTATTATTATCATCGTTACTTTTATCATTATCATTATTATTATCATTACCATAATTATTATTATACATCTTATAGTCAGGTAAAACCATGCTATACCTCTCCAACGATTGATATATCTGTAACTCTAATATGTAACTTTTTAATCTCTTTCTCAAAGGCAAGAATGGAGAAGGAACCGATCTTCGCCGCATCATGGATTGCAATGGCGATGTAGTTGGCCCCATGAAAGTCGCTACATACCAGTCCCACCAGCCTCCCTCTAGCCCGAAGCTCCCGGCTGCCGCCACGCGACGTCTCGCTAGCCACCATGAGAGCTGCGGCATCGCTGATACGAACTTTGTAAGTGTTATATTTGTTTGTTTGTTTTATTTACTTGTTTTGTGTTTTTACTTGTTTCGATGGTTATGTCGTTAGTGAGTTTGTATGTCTGTTTGTCTGTTTGTGTGTTTATGTGTTTGTTTGTTTGTTCTCCTGCGAGGGATAGCGTTGGCCTTTTATCATTTTTAGCATTGCTGTTTGTGTTTGTCTGTTTGTTTGCTTGTTTTTGTGTTTGGAGTAAGAGTCATCGAACGTGTGGTTGTTTGTTTGTCTTTTGTTTGTGTATTTGTTTAATTTTTCGTAAGAGAGGTTGGATTTAACAAAAATGATTTTAACCATTTTAACCATTGTAAGTAAGAATTTTTCGATTCTGTGGTTATATGATTGTCTGATCATATAAATACATGTACATGTGTTTGTTTTATTCAGGAGAGGGAGTGGGGGGGGGGGGGGGGGGGGGCTTTGTGTAAATTTAAGGATTCCTATTTTTTTTTAAATCGAATTAGCAGTAAGAGAATTTCGAATTAGCCGATAAGACTTGTATGAAATATTAAATTAATAACATTAAGTCTGTTCGTTATTAATGTATAGGCATACTTGCATGTAACTAGAATGTTATAGTGAGTGGCGTAGTGTTCGTCCAGTCGAAGGGGGGGGGGGAGGTGTAGTTTAATGTTTCTGAAAAAAGGGGAAAAAGAAGAAAGAGAAGTTATCGAGTTGCACGTACATGGATTAACCAAGCAGATTATAGCCTTTGTTAAAAATGAGAATCTATAAATAATTCTTGGTTAGCAGCTTTAGACAAGTCGTCGCTGTTTTCACGAAGTGACGGTAGTGAAAAAAAAATTGCATTCACTTTGCGTTACGATTTTCCTCACTACCGTCACTTCGTGAAAACATGGACGAAGTGTCAGAAAAATAAATTGATCACAATCATTAACTTATCTTGCATGGACACATAATTTCGTACAACTCAACTTTCTTATAACATGGAAAATGAGACGTAGCTATGCTTCTTCTAGATGATTTTGACCTTGCGGGCTTTGGAATAACAAGTGAAACAAATATTGCAACCTTAACTGTTGACGTTAATTCTAATGATAGCTTTTACCAATATTCTCGTGATAAACAATGACTGTGAAAATCAAACATGTTTCATTTTCGTCAATATCAAATGACGGTTTGCTTCGTACCCTAGATGGGAATAAGATTCTCACACTATGAACATGACGGACAAAGAAAGAGGACAAAATAACATACATAATATACATAATAACAGTGAAGGGATGTTCCTTTGTCTACCTGAGGAACTGTATATTTTGTCCTTTTTCTTTGTCCGTCATATTCATAGTGTCAGCATCAAATCATGGGTTTAATCCTTATCACCTGTCATGAACATCATTATCTTATATCATAACATTACAATGTGGTAGGACCTCCTCGCAAAGAACATAATGCAAATTGCCGTAGTTTAGTGGTTAGGTAGCCGTTTTATGAACGACGTGGTACAGGGTTCGAAACCCTGCCCCGGCACTATTAAACGTCCTTTAGCAACCTTATTTATTTGCTTCTCTCCACCCGGGTGAAGTAAATGGGTACCCAGTAGGAAAAGGTTACGGACTCTGTGAGGGCCTAGTTAGTGTAGCTTGGGAACAGCCGCTGTAGTAACGAGATAATGTATGAAATGCGGAAGAAAACATGGTTATTTTGTATGGCACCTGCGCTATCTAAATGGACGAAAATGTATATCATAAGACTTGGTTTCTGAAGAAAATTTGTTTAAGTACATAGTACCGTCACCTGCCTAAACAGTCATGACGTATTTGAGATTTGGCAGCAAAAAAAATGATTAAAGAGTACCCTGTGTGTCCCTAAGCGTGGTTTGATAAGTTAATTTTGTTTTATTTTTCCACTCAAATATCCAAATTGTGTTATACATGTAAGTGGTCAGGCCTTTTTTAGTGTATTGGATGACTTTCTGTCCTCATTTCCGTCTTGAAGAATCGTGATCATGAATACAACAAATCGTGATAGCCAAATAATATTAGGTGGAATAAGGTAAACAATAAGTTGAAATCTTATTCTCCATCTCATATCTTAAAAATATTACATTCAATCTCAATAATACCTTATTTGAATTACAAGGTGCTAGTGTTGAGAAATCGTTCAAAAACAAAAATCGATATATTCAACTCTATTACTAGGCCTACCTTACTCAAATTACGGGGTGCTAGCGTACTCTCTAAAAAAATCGAGTGATCACGGACGTCACTCCTCTGGAGAGTGAAAATGTAGTGAAAATAGAGTGAACATTCACTCTTTTCTTCTTAGAGAGCACTCTAAAATCAATCGATTTTCATTCCTAAACAAGTGATCACGGACGTCACTCCCAAGAAAGTGAAAATAGAGTGAAAATTCACTCTCTTTTTTTAAGAGAGTAGGGAAGTTGTTCACACTAAAAAAAAATCGATTCGATTTTCATGATCCAAAAAAGAGCAATAAGAATAATAAATTTAACTTATTCTAAGGCACACACTAACGTTTAATTTCTTGCAAATCGTTTTATGAACGTTTTCTGATTTATACAATTATTTCCTCGGATTTTCCATGTATCAGCTAAGTAAGGATGATTTGCCTAATATATTCCCTCCTGTGTTCGCTTTAAACAGCGTTATTCATTCCTATCCCACAAGACAAAGAGACAATGTCCATCTCTCCCCAATCCGGACAATTTCGCCCTAAAAACAATCATGTACGGTCCTTCTTTTTGGAATGGTTTGGATGTGGAGGTTAAGGAAGCACCATCGTTAAATTGCTTTAAACGCAAACTTCCAGTTTTCCTTTTTAAATTCTTATGTCTACTCTCTCGAAAAAAGAGAGTGAATTTTCACTCTATTTTCACTTTCTTGGGAGTGATGTCCGTGATCACTTGTTTAGGAGTGAATATCGATTGATTTTAGAATGCTCTCTAAGAAGAAAAGAGTGAATGTTCACTCTATTTTCACTACATTTTCACTCTCCAGAGGAGTGACGTCCGTGATCACTCGATTTTTTTAGAGAGTAATATAATTTGTTTAACCTCCCCAGTCCTTGTTACCTTTTTTTCTCCAATGCTTATCTTAATTGCTAATTAACGATGCATGTTCTAGTTATTAATGTATATAAAAACAGATTACGTTTGTTTCTAATTAATGTGTATGAACGAATTGCACATCGCTAAGTAATTTTCTCAGGGTAATATCTAATTTAGATCGCATTCTCTTTTCATGGACGGCCTGATGTACACCGTCCAATTCAGGACTCTTGAAGTGACCATTTCACTCGGGAAACTGTGTATTAAACATTTATCTTTGTGGTTTTCTCCAAGTAGTTTGTTACAGCTTGACCCTTCATGTAATTATATTCTTGAATTAATTACCATATAAATACACTTGATGTTTCGTTCAACGGTGCTTTGCTAACTAAATTGCTCGGGTGACTATGCAGTTTAACCGGGTGACTCTGGGTATTGGTGCTGTTGCATTTGTATACAAATTTCCTTATTTCGTTGTGTTTTACCCCCCCCCCCCCTTCTCTACTGCTACGGGTTTTTACATCTACAATGTCTATTTTACCAGGAACCTATAATATACAAGCACTGCTTTTCAATAAGTTACTCACATTCTAATGAATCTATCATATGAATTGAGTATCATTCATTGAGACGTGCTCGTACTGTACATGTATATACAGTGCGTCCCAGAAAAAACGAAACCGAGAATTATCGATGTTTTATCATAACTTAATCACAACTATAATTTACAAATGACACATATTTTTAAAGCTTAGATCCTCTACTTTGCATATTTCACGCATGATTTATTAAAAACAATTTGAAGACAGGAAACCAAAAAGCCAGTTGGCGGGCGGTATCTGAATTTCAAAGAGAAATCACATTTCTATATAGAAAGTTTATTTTCTGCCCTTTCATATGACAACTCAATCAGGAAAAATGAGCCAAGAATAACAAAGTTCTGTTTATTTAAAGTAATGCTTGCATTTCCATAATTTGATTTAAAAAATTCGTTTTCACTGGCTGCCTGCCGCAGCCCCGCCCCGCCCACTCAGTGTTATTTAGGGTACGCATATGCTTGTTCCCTCTTTTTGAAAGCACCCCCTATCTGAGGACTGCCAACATTTCCGAACCCCCCTTTCGCGGGCTTTTCGCGGGCTTTTCCTGCCTTGGAGACCCCCTTCAATTCGGAAAAATGCTCAATGTACCCCCTTAAATTCAGAAAAATGCTCAATTTACCCCCCCCCCCTAAATTTTCAGGAGTCCAAAGAGATGAGAGAAAAAAGAAAAAACACTCCCTTTTTAAAGAAATCTCCAGGTGAAAGTCAAATACACCTCCTTTTCTTATAGTTCTCGGGCCGGACTTTGTCGCACGAAAAGTACCTCTTTACCGGACATTTTGGTAACACGCATGCGGTCATTTCGACCCCGGAGTGGGGGGCCGGGGCCGCAGCAACAAACAGAGTTGACAAAAGACTTAACTCCGTTTCGTTGACGATCAGCCTTGCATCAAGTATTTCGTCTTCGTTGTGCATGGCTGATCGTCAACACTGAGTTCATAATTGTGTGATCTTACAAAGTTCTAAATAGATACGTTTTCAAATTACTTCTGAACTTTTCAAATGTTCCTATATTTCTAAGGTATTCCGGCAAGTTGTTCCATACAACAGTGGTTGTCTATGAAAATAGTCTTTCCCCTCAAAAGATTTTGTAACAGTTTGTGGGATATTAAATAAAGACTTTTTACTGGAACGCAGCATTCTCCAGTTGCATGGTCTCTTTAATTAAACCGTACATTCAAGGGCCATAATTGATACACAGTATATCAACAGTGAAAGTCTCATTATGGTAAGATTGACAAAACTTGGATTATGACATTACACACTTTCCCTTGTAGTTTGATGTATAGCAACCATTGTTGAGCAATAATTTTAGTGCATGGTAGCTGCAGTATGCAAACTTCAGCGTCCCGTTCTTGTGCTTGTGTTGTTTTTGTTTGTCTTGTTATATACAGTGCGTCCCAGAAAAAACAAAACCGAGAATCATCGATGTTTTATCATAACTTAGTCACAATTATAATTAATAAATGACATATTTGTAAAGCTTAGATCATCTTCCTTCATTTGATGCAACTCATATGATGGATATTTCACACATGAGTGATTAAAATCAATTGGAAGAGAGGAAACCAAAAAGTCATTAGGCGGACGGTATCTGAATTTCAAAGTGAAAATCACATTTCTAGAAAGTTCAGTTTCTGCTTTATATTTCATTTCAAAGACTTTATTTTCTGCAATCAAACAAAATCAATTATACAACAAATATGGATAATTATATAAAACATAATGCAAACAATATACAAAATATAGAAACAAATGTATAATACATGAGAAAGAGTAAATTTATACGTTGGGGCATTGCGTGTATAAAGAAAGAAAGCAGAAGGTCGCCGTTATAAGCAAAAGCTTGAGCAGACGGTCAACCGAGACACCTCAATCAGGAAAAATGAGCAAGGAATTACAAAGATCTGTTTGTTTATAGTGAGGGATGCTTGCATTACCATAATTGTATTAAACGAATTCGTTTTCACTAACTACTTGCCGTAGCAACAAACGGAATTGCCAAAAGACTTAACTCCGTTTCGTTGACGATCAGCCATACACGATTTAGACTTCATGCATGGCTGATTGTCATCGAAACGGAGTTTAGTCTTTCGTCATCAGCCCAGTGGTAGCATATCGTTAACAACTGAATTATTTATACCCCTTGTTAAAAAAACATACACAAATATGTGTTAAAGAATAGTAGATGGATTGGTTGAATTAGGTCCTTTGTTTGATAATTTTAGATGTAAGCTTTGACGTGTCACATTTTCAAGACACATAAATCGGGACAAATAAAATTTTTAACATAATTAAAATATAACAAAACTTGCTATAAAAGGTTATGAGTAATTTAGTTATTGACTGTAGATCTGGCCAAATGGCTAGCTGTTACCGAAAAAGCGCCTCGGCTTCAGGTTTTAGAATTTAGAACATTTAAGAACATGTTTGGGTCGTATCATCATCATCATCATCATCACCATCATCATCATCATCACTATCATCATCACTGTAACTCCTACAGTAGCATAGTAAATTAGCCATACAGATTATGAGTGTAAGATTTTTGCTTCAATCAATTAGTTGAATTTGGATGACGAATTTGTTGCCATCTTTACCTTTACTTCTTTTCCCTGAAATATTGGTCGATGTCCCCCTCGTCAACATCATACATGTTGTGAAAAAGTGATTAACTACCAATCTGATGAAAACCAGAAATATACGAGGGGGCATTGAAAGCCGCGTTTAGCTTTGGAAAGCTATATTATCAGCTCTCGAAAATGAACTCGGCCGTTCAAAAGCTTTAATAGAGTTTGGAAGACAATTATTGTTCTAATCGACTTTTTAATGAATTAATGATTATTATTGTTAACGTAGAATATTTATAAAAAAACGTATGTGAAATCATAAATTGTTCATGTATTTTCCATTATTTCTATTCTGCCATCCAACCCACCTGCAGAACGGATCCTCAGCGTTCGCTAGCGGGTGTCCGCTGGACAACTTGGGGGGCGGCGCGTCGGCCGCCAACAACTCCGTCACTACCATCACATGTACAAGCTGCAATGGCGCCATCAAGCGGCAGCTTGGAAATATCTCCGAAGACCTGCACACGATGATCGAGGACCGGCAGATGGATGAGGAGAAAGAGGCGATCGTTTCCGAATGGAAGAAGATGGCCCACGTGTTCGATCGCCTGGGCCTTCTCCTCTTCATCATGGCCACCGTCATCCTGGCGATCGTCCTCGGGAGCAGGCTCGGAACGCCCAGTGATGTGTAAATCAAAATGGTGGGGGCCTATCATAAAAGGACAGAGTGAGATGCGGGATTTATCTTTTTCATGTTTATAGAGAAAAGATGAAGACAAGGAGAGCGAAGTAAAAGTAGTAAGAATTGATGTGTGCTTGATTGAGAAGTACGGCGTTGATGTTAAAACGTCATGATGTTGAGAGAACAAACTTAAACGAAAAGAACACCAATGTTAAACGGCAGAAATCGAACATCGAATATTAAAGTGAATTGCATTGGTCGGCTGAATTTCAATACTGGTGTTATAATAAAGTTAAGTTCTCGGAAACTGTTGATGTTAAGCTTACGTTGATGCGTGCCGCAAATATATAAATACAAGGATATAAATAATATTAATGAATTAAATTACTTATGAAAACGTAATTAGAAAATAGAATTATGTCTTACCTAGTTGTCTGCAATACAAATTGCTTCTAGAAGTCATACATGTATGTAAACAGTCTATGGCAATGTACATAATCTTTATTTAAAAGAAACTTCGAACATTTCAGAACTTGCATGTTTCTTTCAAATTAGAAACTTCCTTTTTATGGGATACTTTAAGATAGAATCTGATTTATTGACTTGTAGATAAATTCATCTGTACATAAGTATGCGCTTGTATAACATTGAAAAAGCATCGTAAACTGGTAAATATGATTGTGTTCCATTGTCATAGATTCCTGCAAGTGTAGTGTAGTGGTGGTTATTTTACCTGACTGCTAAGAAAGCATAAATGCTTGTTAGTAAGCAACCAGAAGACCGACGGCTTTAGGTCCTCTCTGATGGACCTGGTAATGAGAACGAATGCCTTACCAAAGGGCACTAGCATATCGACTTGGTTTAGAACCCGGGTCGCGAAACCACTGCTCTACCAACTCGGCTATCGCGCCCCCTCAGGAAACCAGTGAAAATTTGTTGATTGAACATTGTCTTAAGCACGCGCCAAGGCAATAAGGGGGAAGTTGGAAAAGACACAAAAGAAGAAAGAAGATGATGAAACTGTGATTGAAACAGAAAGATGCTAATAACTATCGTTTCATTTATAAACAATAAGTATTGAAATCGTCAATCATGACCAAAAAAATTGACAAAACATAGGAACACAATTTTCAAGTAAAATGAAACTAATACTCTCAAGATGTAGTCTGTACATATAAATATTATTATTTATGGTACCTGTTGTGGTGTAAGAACAGCTTATTTGTCTCGAAACTTCTACACATCGTTGAAGAAAACGCTGTACAGATAAGACAGGTCTAATTATTTACATTACTAGCTGAAATTGTATAATAATAATAATAATAATAATATAAACACTTATAATGCGCCGGTATCCATAGTGATACTCATGGCGCAGTAGAAAATAGACTATATAGAAATAGTCATAAACATTAACATGAGTACAATCATATGATATACTACACTAACATGTAATACTTATCAGTATCGGATAACTTAACGGTATATGCGGCATTGAACAAGTATGTCTTGAATGCGGTTTTAAATTCACTGACAGATAACATATTACGAAAAGATTGTGGCAGTTTGTTCCAAAGTAATGGACCGGCATGTGAAAAAGCCCCCCCCCCCCCCCAAGAATTTCGAGTTTGTGGTACAACCAATAATTTATTTAAAAGATGAATTTGATGATCTGAGATGTCTAGAAGGATTGTATAGTTAATTAAACTACGAATATACTGAGGAGTAGACCCATGTAAAGAATTAAATATATACATGCAGGAGTATTACTTATAATCTATACGATATTGAACAGGAAGCCAATGGAGAGACTGTTATACTGGCGTTATATGGTTTCTCTTAAGGGACATAGTAACAAGCCGAGCTACATGCAGTGTTTTGTAATCGCTGCAGACGGGAGACTAGAGCTTGGGGTAGTTGATAAAATAACGAGTTTATACACGTAGTAATTTGCGATTTGTTTCATAATCAAAATAAAAATAAACCATTCTTATATAGCGCAGATCACAAACATAAATTGAGGTCCCTATGCGCTCAGAAAAAACAAAAGACGGGATAATAGCAGACATGAGGGAAGAGAAGAGAAAGAATAACTGCTTTGTCATAACATTGTAATATTTTAACAAACGAAAAAAATGTGTCTTTAAATTGTCATGTTCAGTGCGAGACGAGTAGGGCTCTTCTTCTTACCTCAAGCATGTATGGAGCCTTCCAAGCTTAAAGGTAAAGACCAGTTATGGTCATGCGGTTGCATTGTGAAAGAAACGTTGCGGAATCGATCAGAAAAGGTTGATCATCTAGCATCTAGCATCTGCAAGGTTCTGGAATCATCAAAATGATAAGAAATTTGGCCCATTCTTCGTAAAGTTACAAGCACTATACACAGAAAGATGTATATGGGACTACCCTATATCTCTCACAGACCATGAGAGAAATAAATTTACCAAATATATTAATTAGTATGCGGTTTCCCAGCAAATTTGTTATCATCATGTATTAGTCAAAACATATTCTTTCACATGATTGGTAATGAGAGCTTCCATTTCATTTTTTGAAATTGGGGCGTTTCCAATACTGGTCTTTACCTTTAAAATATAGCTATACAAATTGAAGTCCGCAGTTTACAGGCACATTCATTGATTATAATCCATTGCATTTTACAATGTATAACTCCTTCACCATTCTATACATCGGAACAAACATGGCAAAGCCGCCGTCAGATTAATACATTTACAATGTTACTTGATTTCATATTTGCAACATAGCTTACCGTCTTTATTGGGAGTCTCAGCTGATTAATATAAGCAATCTTTTGATATTAAATTATTCACTTTCTTCTCCGATTAACATTGCGTTGGCGTATCCCGAAATGTATTTAAATATAAATAAGGAGGGTGGACTCCCAACTATTGGCCATGTTGGCGGGAAGGTGGAACGGGTCTTCGCTGGCGAAGGCAGCCCTGCTTGCCGAAGACTCACTGCACTTTTTATTTAATCTAAATCAAAATTAAATCTAATTTGTTAGATTTAATTTGCTGGACATTCATACGCGTTGTGGTAAATACGCCTGATATGCCTCAATTTGCAATGGAATATGAAAACAAAATTACTGTCATAATTTTCTATAGAACTAAAGAAATTGTCATGGACTACAAAAATGAATATAACCTTCTAGTCTAATCATAATCAGTATAACATTTTGTACGGAGTTTATGTTACGTGAAGATTGAGAAATAATTGTATATAGAAATATGTTACATCTATAAACATTTTCACTTGTTATTGAAAAATGTGTTTCAAATAACTTGCTTTCTGGGTTTTCACCTTCTTATACTTTCGGAAGTCATTTACTCTACTGTTCTGTTTGTTTATTGTTCTCCATATATTGTCTATGAATAGTGGAATATCTTTTGAATTATGTAAGAAACAATTGGAATATTATTATGACCTTGAACGAATAATTTATTCAAAACGAGAATTTTATTTCTTGATAAATGACGAGATGTACAATTGAATTGTATTATGTTATGATACTTATTATGTTATGTATCATACTAGCATTTGTATTACTGTTTACCGCTTATTGCCATCACATCAATTGTTTAGTATTGTGTACTTATATGATATTTTGTTTTGAATAGATTTCTTTATATGAACTAAACATATATATCGTCTATGAGAAGGAAATAAATGTTAATTTCAAATGTCAAATAACATAAACAATTTGTATAGAGGCATAATTTATATTATAAACGTTGTGTATCAGGTGAATAAATACTATAAGATAAAAGCTAACGATGTGCCAACAAAAATCTAATCGTTGTCGAGTTGTCGTGGAGAAGACTTCTTCTATCACCGCAGTATTGATCTCGTAAGAAATGGTTGTGTATGTGTTACATTTATCATGTCTCTACAACGGATGCCATCGCTTGACATTTCGTCCAGCAATAGCAAAAAAAATTCATAATTGAATTTTCGTCCGATCGCATTATCTGATCATGGATTACATTAAAATGCACATTTATTGGTCTACTTTATTCACCTTCTGGTTTAACTTTCTTTTCTATTTCAAATTCAAATTCAAATGATTTTTTATTTTTCATGCAAAACGTAATACTATGAATAAGTATAATACAACAAAATATACAATTAAACGTAAAAGTGATAGCACGAGAAAAGGGGAACTAAATAGAAGCAGAGTTTGTTAGTTGTCAGAAGAAAAAGACAATTCTACCACGTTTGGTGTGGAGTCTATTTTCCTTGACAGCTCAAGATTTACAAACCAGGATGACTCGGCATTTTTAGGCAGCCTCCAGAAATAACCACAGTGCAACCTAGTTTTAGTATTTTAGTGGTTGCAGCTATAATGAGATAGTTATGCAAACCATTATGAAACAGCAATTACAAACAAAAATAATGAACCAACAGTGATAATTGGTGGTGGGCTAAGATGTACTTTAGTAAATATATTTATTATTAACGGTTGATATTATCAAATAGTATTAACTTTCTAAGGACAAGAGTATATACAATATCGATATACTCCTAAACGGTACCCGTGCCATGAAAAAATGTAATATTTATATATATATATATAATTATGATCAAAATGTAATGTGCAAGCAAAAATGTTAAAAAGTGCAAAATCAATCTGTAGGTGAAATGAAATTCATAGAATACTACTAAAACTTTTCGGTTATTGTTGTTTCATACATTTTGTTATCATGGATATCATTCAATAATTGTAATGTGAAATCATTTCAAATTTGATTTATTCATTTGTGCAAGTTGTACCGAATGTGATGAAATAAACGATTGATTCATGTAAATTTGTTTACTGTGTAATTTACTTTGTTCTCGTGATGGTTGAATATTCTTTTTTTTCCTAGAATCTAATTACAATCCTGTGCTGATATAAGGGATTACAGAATTTCAATAATTTTAATGGGAATTGATTAAGGTCATCGCTCTCGGGTCATCTCTGTCGTTACGTGTGACCCGTCATTTGCATCATCATCTGATTATGCCCATATATGTTGTAATGAATTAGATCAGTTCCAGTAGAGCTTGGGTCGTGAAGATCATTTTCATTTCATTTTTCCACTTCTCATTACAAAACATATGACAATTTACATACAATATGTGATTAACACAACAAAACAAGAAAATACATGTAGCATAACAATATTAGAAAGAGTTTCGAGCCAGTCCGTAGACTTAGGGGTGTGTACAATTGATGACTGAATTATTCATATTCCATAGATATTTGATGGGTTTTATTCCGTAACTGAAGAATCAAAGTATGGCCATTGTTGAATGTTTTTAGACGTAAGCTTTAATACATGTATGTCACATTCTCAAAAAACATAAAACGGAACAAATCAAATGTTCACACATTTCAAACAAATTACAAAGTTTGGGAAGGATGTGAACATTTTAGTTAACTATATATACGTTTCCTCAGTGGCGTAGATACAGAGGCAGAAGGGCACATGGGCACATATCCCCCCCCCCCCCATAGAGAGAGAGAGAGGTAAAGGAGAAAAAGAGAGAGGACGGAAGCGAGAAAACACGAAAATGGAAAGGGAGGACGGAAAAAGACGAGAAAAGAAGTCGCCTGGTCAAACCAACTCCCACACCTTCTTCCAAATCACATGAATCAGTATAGCCTTGGAAATTCGCATTTCATTTTGAGAGTTATATTGGCGCCCCTAAATCGTTCCGCCGCCCCTTCAATGGATGGAATAACGCTACGCCACCTTTTTGTCCCAATAC